TTAAATGGTCGATATAGTATATATATATATAAAAATTCTGCTTGGAAATCCTAAATCTTAATATATGCATTACTGTAGAGACAGAGGACTGGTGTAAGACTTCATAAATGTGAACATTGTAAAAATGTACTCGGGCTTCATGTGAATTGAAGAATTCGAAACTACGAATTTCATATCCATAATAATTTTAAAAAAAAAAATAATTGACCTTATTTACATGATTTCATTTTTAGATGAATTTCAACTCTATGACCTCAATTTTGAACTTTTTTCTTTTTCGGAATCATATTTATGAAACAGAAATTCACGCTATATGGAGTCAATTATAACCATTTGGCTGTATATTTATCAGGTCAACCCCGCATCATTCACCGAGATATCAAGTCCACAAATATTCTCTTGGAGAACAACTTCGAAGCACGGGTATGCTAAATTTCTCTGTAACATAACAGCTCAATCCACTTTTACAGCATGTTTTTTCTAGGAAAAAAAAGCAATTAGATCATTTTCCATTAAGTGCTTTTATGCTGCTTTTCGACAGGTGGCAGATTTTGGGCTTGCAAAGCTAGCACTTGAATTGGATTTATATACCCACGTGTCAACCCGTGTAATGGGAACTTTCGGGTAGGTCACCACTTTCTTGAAAACTACGTTAAGTCAAATTAAGCTACGGTGTCTTCTAGACTGGAGCTAGCTTATTACATGCTATAGGAACATGACAGTGAGTCTAATATCATCGAACACATGGTTGTTTCTCCAAGTGCAGCATCACTACAAGGGATAATTTAGGATTGTTGCATGTTTGGTAGTAAATTATTTGCAAAGAAGTATGAACAATTGTTAAATAGTGCAATTTTCATTCATTAAAAGAGTTACATGCGATGAATTGCAGATACTTGGCTCCAGAGTATGCATCGACTGGTAAACTGACGGAGAAATCAGATGTTTATTCTTTTGGTGTTGTGCTTTTGGAGCTCATTACTGGTCGTAAACCTGTTGACTCATCTCAGCCCTTGGGCGACGAAAGCCTCGTTGAATGGGTAAGCTCCACCAACCTTCTTTTTTACTTTCTCGTTTAATTTTTCTAATTTCCTTTGAACCTCAACATAAATTAAGGCCTCGTTTGGTTCCCAAAATAAGATTACTCCAGTATTATGAGAACCCAATTGTATAATCGGACTAGGGGAGAATAAATTACTATCAATTTAGTATTCGTTTTGTGATATCTTTTTTGAGTTATGTAAGAACTTATTTGGAATGCCACCTCACCTTTTTCAGGCAAGACCATTGCTCACTCAAGCACTCGATGCTCAAAATTTTGGAGATCTCGTTGATTCTAAGCTCGGAAATAATTTCGTCGACATTGAAATGTTCCGAATGATTGAAGCTGCTGCAGCTTGTATTCGTCATTCAGCTTCCAAAAGGCCTAAAATGAGTCAGGTTTGTTTCGATTTTTTAATGATTCGTTATGTATTTATTTTTTTAATTTTTTTATCTTTCGAATTATTGATTCGTTATGTATTTATTTTTTATCATTATTAATATCTGTTTTTCGTTTACAGATAGTGAGAGCTCTAGATTCTTTAGACGAGTTAACGGATTTGAACAACGGAGTGAAACCTGGACAAAGTGGGGTTTTCGATTCGAGGGAACATTCTGCACAAATAAGATTGTTCCAAAGAATGGCATTTGGAAGTCGAGAACACAGCTCCGATTTCTTCGATAATTCTCAGAGTAGCTGGAAGAGTTGACCGTTTCGATTTTTTAATTCTTTTTTTTTTTTTTGACTAAAAATTTGGATGTAAATTTTGCTGACATTTATTGAATCCTAGTCACGATTCTTTTGTATTATTACGTCATCCTTAATGTTTTTTGATCCGTTTTGTAGATGAAGTAGCTTACCTCGTGTATATGCTCTAAGATCTTGTTTCTTTAATTGATACCAAAAGTTGCAATTTCTTGAACCCAATTATTGCAACTATGATTCGTTTAATCAGTGACTTTTCAATTATTATTTTCCACAATGGAATATTTTAATTTATTAATTTCTCATTTTACCTAAATATAATTTTGAAAAAGTAAGTTTAATCCACTTATAAATTCAACAAAAATTGATTAACTTATTTTTCAGAATTATCTAATTACTTTGACAAACGTGGCATATCAGATGGAGCAAGTGAACATGTGTCAATTGATCAAAGTTTGAATTTCATTGCCAATGGTCGCTAGGTCGAGCTTGTCACACATGGTTAGCCCGGTGTAGTTTACGTCTCTCGTATAATTTGCAAATTATTATATGAGAGCGTAAATTTACCCAATGCACCTATATAACTAGCTGCGGGGTTACTTCGTTACAAAAAAGGAAAAAAAAAGATTGAAAAAGGAAATGGTAGTGTGACAGTATCTTCTAAATTATTGTAAGGTGGTGTTTGCAAAAGCTTATTTAAAAGTAGAAGTTAGTGATTGTGAGTTAGGTTGAGATTAAGGTGGTGTTTGCAGAAGCGTATAAAAATTAGGATGTTTTTTTCTCAAGTAATTTATTATTAGGTGTATGCAAAACTGACTTTTGTTTTTGCTTCTCTTAAAATAAGCTGTTTTAAGCTATAATTTTAAAAACACACATGTACATGTTTTTTCTATTTAAATTGATTTTCCAATTTTTTGCAAACACCCCCAACTTTTAGAATTAAACACTTAATATCAACTTAACTCACAATTACTAACTTATGCTTTTAAATAAGCTTTTGCAAACACCACCTAAGTGTCTATTTCCAAAAGTTGGAGTGCTTGCAAATTAGCTAAAAATCAACTAAAATAGAAAAACAGGTACACGAGTACTTTTAAAATTATAGTTTAAAGCAGCTTATTTTAAGAGAAACAAAAGCAAAAATTTATTTTGCAAACATCTAAAAACAAATTATATGTGAGAAAAAACTCATAATCTATTTTTAAAAGGTTTTACAAAAAACACTTAAATGTTCCATGACATTTTGTGCTCTAGATTGCATTGACTAGTGGGTAACACGATTTTACGTCAAAATCGTAAATTTAGTTAAAAGCGTAAAACAAATAAAAACGCGCTATATATTGGGTAAACAAGTAAATAACAAGACGACTCTAGTTGAGAATTTGAGATTCTTCCCCGTTGAAGTATACAGCGTAGAAATCAAAATCAACAGTCCAATTTCATTTTCATTTTCGTTTTTTTTTCTTTTTTTCTTTCTCGGAGAGGGTTAGTATCGGCGGTTTAGAGGTGAAGATGAGCGGCGAAGGAGGAGGAGGAGAGGATCCGCAGAAATTGAAGCGGATTGCGGCGGCGGCGTACGATTACGATATGGACGCGCGGTGGTCGGATTACTGGTCGAATGTGCTCATTCCGCCGCACATGGCCGCTCGCGACGACGTCGTCAAACACTTCAAGTGCAAGTTCTACCAGCGCTACATCGTACGATGCTCTTTGCTTTGCTATTTCAGTCTAGTTGCTAAACTATGATGTGTTTTCATTTTTTCACTATTGTTCATTGCAATTGGATTTTTACTGAATTCCTTAGGAGTGAATCCTTTCACCAATTGAATTTTTCCTTGGTTATCTTCACTGATTTTGGACTACTTCGAACTTCCTGCAAAAGTTTATGTTGCTTTTCTTACTTTATTTGTAGAGGAGAGGGTAAATCAAACGAACAAGTGATTTCAGTTACTTGCCCTAATTTATTAGAAATGTTTGTCTGTCTTGTTTTTTTATTGTTGAATTAGGTCTGGACTCTGGACATAAAACTGATGCAGAAATCTCATGATATAGGGTTATTTTGCATTTGTATACTCTTCCAGAAGGTCGGATCTAAAACTGCCTTTTTCATATTTTGATGAATCGAGTTCCGTATTTTCTTCGTTGTGTTGGTAATTGTTGTAGAAATGTCGTTCCTGTTTGTACTCTAATGATGCTTTACTCGCTGGTAGATTTTGTATAGATAATGTCGGTATAAATTGTGGCTCTAACTATGGTTGATTTTATTGTATTTTAGCTTTTTATGGTCATTATAAGGAGAGATTATGACTCTGGAAATTTGCCTAATGACATTGTGGTTTTCTTGAGATATCATTATCTTTTGCTAATTTTATATGTTTATTTTCAGGATCCTGATTTAATTGTTGAGCCGATGGCTACTAGCAGCTCATCTCAGCCAGCAAGACCATCAGCTACATCAGCTACTCATGAAAGTAGTACTCGTCAAAGGAGTACAGGTCTAAATTTATAGCTTATAATATTAATCACAACCTTATGTTTTTCGGTAGAAGCGGGTTATTCTTTTACCTGAAATCCCACTGAAAAATCGTCTTGCAGGGTCATCTAGTAGACCATCAGGGGCATCTTCCACCCCACCTCCTAATTCCACTTCGTTACGTTGGGATCAGCAAACAATTCAATTTTCTGTCAATGCTTGGGTATGCTAAATTCATTCGATTTGTAATTAAGTAAAACTGCTTTTGGGATGAAGAAATTAGTTATGATATAAATTTATTGCTAGGAGATCTCATTTTTTTCTTTTTGTTTTTCTGGCAGGTCTTTGTTGTGGCAGTTCTTGCAATTTTTCCCCTTGTGCCAAAGAATCTCTCGGATCGAGCATACCGCCTTTCCTTGCTCGGAACTGCATGTTCTTCTGTGTATTCATTGTATTCACTATATGGGGTAATGCTCTAATAGTCTAATTTGTTCGTGCACCGTTTATATTGTACTTGGTTTTGTAACTGCTTGTTATCCGCAGAAACCTAGAGCATGGAACTTGCAGGCTGTGCAAGTGTGGTTCCAGACGGTGATAGTTACCAAAGATTTTATCTACTCCGTGTACTGCCTTACTTTCGTCAGTTCGAATCTGTGCCTCAAATGTCAGTATAACTCTATTACTAATTTTTATTAGATTCTATATCTTATATTACTTTATTTGTAGTGCTTCTCTTCAATGTGCTTAAGTTACGTTTATTTTAAATATGGCAGTTGCTTTAATTCCCATATTGTGCCGGGCCCTTGAGCATGTTGCGAAATTCCTGAGGCGTAACTTTAGCAGATCATCCCTGTACAGGTAAAAAAGCCTTATTTGTCTTTGCAAATGCTTTGAATGCATTTTTATTGCATGAATCAACTATCCAAACTTTTTAGCATGCTTTTGCATCTCTTGTATGCATTTCTTAGCGGTAACATAGACTTGAATGTGACTATGTTTATTGTTAAAGCATCTGTGGAAACTTATCTGGACACAAGTCAAAGTGTTTTAAAGGTGTAGATGACCTTTAAGGTATTTTATGTTATATTTAAAGATGTAGATGACCTTAAAGGTGTAGCTTGAGTACTTGCAGATATTTTCTAATTGAAACTAATTCGAGTTGAATCCACCATCCATGAATTTTAACTTTAGGCCTCGTTTGGTGCCGAGATAGGATTAGCCAAGATAAGATTAAATAATTGCATGAAAACCCAGTTGTATTATTGGCCATGAATGGTCCAACAAAAAAAAAAACACTACCAAAAGGCATGATAGACAGATAAAGCATGATATAAGGCATGATAACATAATATTTCCGGGTCGACTCGGGAAGGTATTGGGTTTACCTAACATCAAACAAAGTCCAATTATTTTAGTTAATAATGGCTTATCTCCGCCTTAGTGTATGATTCAAGCCCCAATTTATGCTCTGTAACCATTTATACATGTGATACAATGATTGTCATTTGATTATCCCATGAACTCTCTCTTATCGGGGGAAGAAGAAAAGAAACATCAAAGGAGAATTTTGGATGACAAAATTTTCATCATACACAGCATCGTTTTTAATGTTTCTATAGTTGTATTTCCCCCCCCCCCCCCCCCCCCCCCCCCTCCTCTTTTAGACAACTGTGGACAGCCTATTAAAAAATACACTTTTTCGGTGGACTTTGACAGGAAATACTTGGAAGACGCATGTATTTGGGTAGAGTCAAACACAACCACCCTTAGCATTCTCTCCTCACAAGCTGAGATTGGGCTTGGAGTCCTTCTCATTATTTCTCTACTCTCGTCAGTAACTCTTTCTTGTTCCTTTGTTTACTCTTTTCTTGAAATTCAATAATAAATGTCGTCACTTGTGAAGCTATATTCTTAACCTTATTACAATATTAATATGCAGGTGGCAGCGCAACATTATACAAACATTTATGTACTGGCAGGTGCGAGTCATATTTATTTCGAACGGCAGTCACTTTTATTGATTAATTTCACAACCAAAAGTTCATGTGACGTGTGAATTTACCTTTTTGTCCTTCCTTATTTTCAGCTTCTGAAGCTCATGTACCATACTCCTGCTACGGCTAGTTACCATCAGAGTGCATGGGCCAAGATTGGACGGTCTGTAAATCCGTTAATCCAGCGCTACACTCCATTTCTCAGCACTCCAATTTCTGCCGCCCAGAGATGGTTTTTAAGATAGAAGTTTTGATAGAGTAAGAGAAGAAAGCGGAACAAGTAGGGAAAAAAGAAAAAAAAAAAGAGGTGAAATTACAGATTTTCGATTAAAAGCCGTTCCTAGTAATAACTACTTAAGAGAGCTAACTTTCTTACTGAACTCTCTCGTGCTCTCCCTCTCCTGAATGGGAAGGACAAGAAGTGATCTTCTTTGACTTACTTCTACAGGTTTTTTTTTATGCAAAATCGTTATCTCAGAGAAAAAATAGCAGACACTAAATCTCGTATTTTTACCTACTTTGTTCTCTTACAGATGATTCTAGTTTACGATACTTTTGCATGTGACTTCGTGACTTTTTACGACAGTTTATTATATTCTAGTTTCCCGACACTAAATATGTACGCTCGTTATTTTTGGCTTAGACTTGTTGCACAGTAATATTTTCTTCGAGGAAACTCTCTTGCATCCTATGTCTTGTGAAATTGTATGCAACAATTGAACTAGTTAATGGATTCTGTGGTTTGTATGGAATTCAGTTTCTTATAGGTATCAAATGAATAAACAAAAACACCAAAAAAAAAAAAAAAATCCAATATATTATTTTGGTTGATAATTTAATCTATGCTTCGATATATGTTAATAAAATTACGTAAAATACATACGACTAAACGGTAATTTAAAGAAGTACAAGACTATGCTACATGCTCCTTGGGCAAGGATGGTTGGTAGCCGGGATTTCCTTCTCCGTTTACATTCCCTTTATCGGCTCCTATGACATACTATGAATGAAGGTGCAGCTGTTGAAACTGATGAATGCAGTCGTCGTACGCGATCGGAGTGGCATAATTAGGGCTAATTAAACCCAATTTCATCAAATACGAATCCATTGACTCGCTGACTCGGTCAATAAACAAAGTTGTTATAGACGCAGCCTCGTCAAGCCATGCCGGGTGTACACACACATACCTGTACTCATCCCCGTACCATTGCGGTGGGTAAGCCGTTTCCATATACATGGCCATGTATTTTATCAAACTCGCCATATTCCTCAGCTATTTCCAGTTGTTTAGTATTCACGACCTCTATTTTCTTGAAATCATAATCATAATCATAATCATAACAATCTTCTTTTGATGTTTCGTAAAAAATCGTCTGCTTTGGTAGTTGGCTCAATAGGCTGAAACATCCACAAGTTTCCGAGATTCGATTTCATAGAGTCGACTGCCTCGTTAACTTCCTTCACCAACTCTTCCACCGCATTAATATAGACTTCGTTGGAGCATGTTCCTATATATGGCAATTTTCTCATCTTCATCATGCATATTCATTCCCACTTCAATATCAGATTCTAATCAAAAACTCAAAACTATTTATTAATGTAAGAACTAGAATCCTAGTCATAGTTAATCAAAATAAAATAAAAAATAATGTAATCCTGATAAGGTAATTACTAATTACCATATAAATATTCTTTTGAAAATATTATCATATAAATGTAATTGTACTATATCGAATTTTTGCGGTCAAAATTAATAAAATTATAATTAAATTAAAGTTACAATTGGAAAGTGAGTTTCAACTTTCAAGGTTCACGGGTGATTTCATCATAAATATTAAGTTAACGGGATGAGTTTATTGGTGAACAAAATGTAACACGTAAACATAAATTAATAAAGGTTGTTAGCCAGGAACGTATACATAAAAACTCATAACTTTTAAGGTAAATTACGGCCATTCACCTGAAGTAAGGTCAAATTATAAAAAAAAAATCCATAATGTTTGGTAATTGCTACCACCCCCTCATCTATGAATCTTCTTATATGTCCACAATTGTGTTGTCAGATTTAGTAAAATCATCTAGATTATGTGGAATATTCTCCAGTTTGTACTCGTTTTACTCCATTCGAGCTCCACATTTTGAAACAAGATGGTTATAAGATGTGTCTCTTAACTTGTAAATATATTTGATTGCAGTGCATCATAAACTGCATTTTTTATTACAATTTAGATAACATCTAACGGAAGCTAAAAGTTTATGTTGAATTTAACAACATAAGGATGAACAAGCAACATGAGGAGTAGTTATAATTATCTGGATTTATTTTGTAATTTGACCTTAGTTCCGGGGGTTAACCGTAATTTATCCTATATAATGTTTATTTTCTGCAAGTGAAAGGGGAAATGAACAAGGAAAAAAGTCAATTTGTCCAATTTTTTATTCGCTATTCCCAAACAATCCCTTACATCCGGCGGGCGTACCACCCATTGAAACTCAAAACTCCGGCTTAAATTGAGCCAATTTCTCTCTCTCTCTCTCTCTCTCTCTCTCTCTCTCTCTCTCTCTCTCATCCAGCCCCTCTCGGCGCCGGTCGATTATCTTCTTTTTCTGGCATCGATTCATCTTAATCACAATTCTTCTTCAATTTACCTTTTCTTCTAGAATCTTCTTCGATGGCGGCGGCGCCGGTGGCTAGGTTTCCGATCCTGCCGGTGGTGAGAGTAATCGGTGTAGCAGTCGCCGCTTTGTTATTGATATGGACTTTGCATTACAGAGGTGGATTGTCTCTCTCACCGGAGAACAAGACTCTCCTCTTTAACGTACATTCCGTTGCTTCTTCTTCTTTTTTTTTTTTTGTTTTTTTTTTTGAAGAAGAATTATAGGTGAACTATTAAATATTATCTAAATCGGATGAATTTGCTGTGAAATTTTCAGGTTCATCCTTTATTAATGGTGATCGGCCTCGTGCTTCTGAATGGAGAAGGTATGTATTTTGTGCATTTCACAATTATTAAATTAAAACTAGAGTGTTATTTGGTATTTTTTGTTTGATGCAATTAACTTCGGTTTTGCAATATGGTGTTCATGTGTTGGATGCGTCTGCAACTTACTCTGCTTAAATATAAGAAATTTGCTGCATAATGTTTGGAACTATTTTACGGCAGTCGTAAGTTGTCGTTTAGAATCAAGATAGCTTCGTCGATACATAATTACATATCCTAACTTAGCACATTAATGAATAGAGATTGAATCTATACGATTATGTGAATTTATGAGTCTACTAAAATTATCTCAAAATTCATTGTCTTCCATCTCCATCTGGACATATTATTTTGCTAGGGTCGACAATAAAAGGCAGATGAAATGAAGAGTTCGTTGTTATATTTACAACTTTAGTTTTTTCAACCACCATCGATCGGGTGGGTGAATTATCAAGAACTTTAGTTTTTGCCAGGGTCGATGAGGAGATGGACAAAATGAACAAGTTGATATGCTATAACTAAACCTCTGCTTAGCTGAGCTGGCATCCGTTTATTTGTTTTAACAAATTTACCTTTAAAAACCAACTCAATCCGCACCAGCACGTATTATTTTCACTGTCTATATAAACGATGAGAAACCAATACCGAAAATTGATAGTTATACATTTCGACGAACTTGATACTTTTTCACTTGTTCCTCTTCACTATCTCTTGCTTCGGTGCTTTTATCAATTGCATATTGTTTGGATATCGAAATAGAGTTTTCACTTGTTTAATTTATACGGACATGCTCGCGCGTGGGAGCGTATATATGTCTCTAATTAGATAGACTCATCCTCTAATTTATATAGATTCTTGCAGCAATGCTGGCGTACAAGACTTTGTTGGGAACTAAGGATTTCAAAAAATCGGTTCATCTTTCCCTCCAATTCCTGGCCTTCTTTTTGAGCATTGTCGGACTATGGGCTGTTTGGAAGTTTCACATACATAGCCTCCACTCATGGCTAGGCCTAGCCAGCCTTTTCTTGTTTGGAATTCAGGTAGAGTCTTCTAGAAACTTCGATAGTATCTTCTCTTAGTTAATTCCTTTTTGGCCTTGTTTGCGAATTATGATAAGACTTGATAGACAATATTATCAAGCAAATGTTTGGGGTTCAAGTTTCAAGCGCGTGATAATATACTCCCTATCTATTCAATCAATCTTATCAATCCCATCAACATTCCCAAACGAAGCCTTATTGTTGCAAATTTTGTCACTGGAAGAGAAATCAGCAGTTTCTGCTATCGAGGCCGTAATATTTTTAATTTTTTTCTAGTGCAGTGGGCTTGTGGATTTGTAACTTTCTGGTATCCGGGTGGATCAAGAAAGAGTCGAGCTAGCTTATTGCCATGGCACATATACATTGGCCTATATATATACGCTCTATCTGTGATTACATGTGTCACTGGTTTACTAATGAAGGCCACATCTCTTCAAAGAAAGGAGATAATAACACGCTACTCGAGGGAGGCATTTCTAATTAATTCTTTAGGTATGTTGCTTGTTACTTTGGCTGGTTTTGTGATTCTTGGGGTCGTCGCCCCTCTTTATGGAAACATTGAAGTTGTCAAAGGAACTACGGAGCAGGTTTAGTGAATCCAATTTGGAAACTTTGGTTATAACGTTAGTGATTATCTAGACGTAAATTGAGGAAAACGGAACAAAAAAAAGACGAAATTTCTATATTTCGTCACGAGAATTTTATAAAATCAAATGAAAATGAAAGTTTTACCTATGTTTTTTTTTCCTGGTTTGGTTAATTTTGATCTTCCTGGGATGTATAACTGTGACCTACTACTGTTGACATAAAGTGGTGATTTTAAGTGTTTATTTTTAAAAGTTGAGGGTGTGTGTTTGTAAATTTACTGGAAAATTAACTTAAATAGAAAAAACAAGTTCATGGGTGCTTAATAAATTATAACTTAAAGTTGTTTATTACAAGAGAAGCAAAAGCATAAGTTCATTTTGCGAACACTTAAAAATAGATTATGGGCAAAAAAAAGCTCATAATCTATTTGTAAAAGCTTGCCAATAAGTATTTGCACGTTCATGTATTTGGGAATAATATGAATTGAATCAATTTCTGCTTTGACTAGTGTTGGTTTTATTTATATAAAAAAAATAAAAAAAATCCAATGTATCTAAAAAGATAAATTAAAAAATGGCGCAAATAATTTAAATAATAAAGTCATTTTAAATTAGGAAAAACAAAAAATAAAAAAATAAAAAAAAAATCGAATCTTTAAAGAAGATAAATTGGCAAATATGTCACGTTGTTAAATACAATTGACACAAAATAAAATTAAAATGGGACAAAACGGAATGTACAGCTCACATGAGCAGTAGCTGTTGGTTCAAATGTTCAATCATTGGCTTATATAGTGTGGTACGTACTTCTTTTGTTGCTTATTTATTTTTACAAATTGTAGACAAATTGTCACATACTCCAACTCCCAACCCCAAAACCCCCTCCAAAACAAAAATGCAAATAAACCATCTAAATAAATTTACCTACAAATGATGCAAGCCTTTGGTGGTATAAAAATTACTACTACTTCACTATCCGCAAGAAAAAGAAAAAAAAAAAAAAAAACCGTCAAAACATACCGCCCGGAAAGGGAGGCGGAATGTTCTCACACTTTACAGAGGTCAAAATCGAAAGCAGTTTGGGTTGGAACATATATATATAGCTTTATTCCAATAAGGTATAAATAAGTTAAATGTGAAGGTGCCGGAAAGGGTGGGGCCTTCAAATTGCCTCGTCATTTGTAACCAGATTGTAGCACAAATTTGCATCCTCTATACCCATAAGTATTCTCTGCCGTATTCTCGGACAATAACAGGAACACTAGTAGGCGGTATCTATATACATCACATCAAACCTTAATTAATGCAAAAAACAATCGAACTACTTACTGATGTAGAATGAACAAAAAGGGTCAAACAAAAAATGAACATGTGATGAAGCCAACTACACAGTTAGAAGAAACGACGGAGAGATGAAATTTCATCGTTCACTTTATGCAGACACAAAAAATTTACAATCGCACGACAGATATAGTGAGTCCTTCCTAAGCATGGATCAAAAGCCGACTGAATGCTGACTTGTCAGAAAAGAACTATCAACTTTTTTAAGAGTATGCAAGAATAAGAATTAACACTGTCCGAACTTACCATGCCATAGTCTGTTATGATCACTGATACATAATCCGAAGGTGTTGCATCGTACCTGATAAACGAAAAAACTTAAGAAAGTTAGCCATTTAATAATAATAATATGTAATATCAATAAGCAGCATAATCTCGAAAATCACCCTTACATTAGGTTTAAGGGTCGTAGATTCTCGCTATTGGACCAACCATCCAAATAATTTATATCCTTTCTACCAGGAACATTCGAAATCGCATCAGGATCACCTGCAATTAGTGTAACAGCAAAATCAGAAGTTAAAAAAAATTATTAAAAAAATAATAAATAAACAGGAGCTTTTCGTACCAAGTTCATTAGAGCAAATTGAATCAAGTTGAACCCTTTCATGAAACTTGTAAGCTTCGCAGCATATCAAAACTGGTACACGAAACTGATTTGCCACCATAGCAACACATGCTGAACCAACCCTCGAGTAGACCGTTCCATTGGACAAAATCGAAGACGCACCCAAAAATACCCTCGTCACTTCATGCATGACGTACGAGACAGCATTTATATGAGTGTATGTACAACTTATACCCTTCTGTACAAGCCTGCGAAGCAGCTTCTGCCCTTCAAGCTTGGGGCGCGAATCCACTATCACTACTCTGAATTGCTTACCAAGTTCGTGAGCATGCAGTAGTATCATCTCAACAGCGGACGAAGATGCGTATGTGAGAAGAACATCACCATCTCTAATTTTGGTTACAGCTTGCTTTACGATAACTTTATCCGCTAGCATTATCTTCTCGCTTATAAAACGATCGATATCGGAAACAAGACTGGCTTTTGCCTCTGCCTCGGACAGGCTCAAGGGCAATTTGGCAATTCGAGTTTTGAGTAACCTGATTGCATTTCCCATGCTCATTGAAAGGGGTCTACATTCGATCAGAAACGAAACATAAGAGTTGATTTTTGCAGTCAAGTCCCTGATAAGGGCTTTCTCTGGTGGGGTAGAGTAGTCCTTGATCGATTCTTGGAAGGCTTGAAGCATAGCCATGCATCGATTATTGCCACCAGATATATTCCCTGCTAGATATTGCATCCCAACCTGACAAACATAAGCACCAGTATACATTAGCAAGAACCAAAAATAATTTTATCCCAAGATTTTTCATTTCAAGAATGTTCGGACAAAGTAAAAAAAAAATATAGTGACTCAAAAGTACCTTGTAGACAGCAGGATGTACAGAGTTAAGTTGGAAGAATTTCGATTCCAGGTCGGGGAGCCTTGTACCATGTTCGTATTGAGGTAGATGCCTAAAGAGTTCAACTCTGTTCCGGGATTCAGTTTGTTTTACTACAGAGCGCTTCTTTGCTTTCTCGACTCTGTTTTCATCATCAAACTGCATCCTTGGATGAGGGGCATCTTTCTTCTTATCTTTATCCGGTTGACCACCTTTTTTCTCCGAAGGTGCTGCAAGTGGAGAGTTGTCTTTTCTTTGGGGCACTGCTTTCACAGACTTCACCGTATTGGTTGAGTTGACCCCAGCATTACCTCCCTCACCTACAAAGATGCAATTTTCAGAATGCGAGAGAATTATACGAAATATGTCTTATCCAAGACAGCAGAAACTATAGCTATGCATAGCAACAAAAGCTTTGAAAAAAAAAGACAACATTGGATTAATTTGAAGAAATTAGTGAGGAAGACAATATTAAATTTTGCAGCTGAAGAGAAAAAGAAATAGATCAATGGCATGGTCTAAAGAATCTGATCAGTCTACGAAAAAGACTAGGTAGCTCATCAAGCACAGGATAATTACATATTTGCCCCTGAGAACATCGTCAAAAGCACATCAATGAAGGTAAATGATTATTTGATGATTCCGTTCGGTTATGAAGTAATGTCACTAAAATATTTGCTTCTCTATTTTCACAAGCATCCAAAAGCAACAACGGTATTAAACAAATTGATATCATGCATCGTTTTCCTTTTGTATCACATTGCATCATGAATCGTAAGATAAACGACACATTGTTATAAAAAGCACAAAATATTACCGCTTAAGAAACAAATATGTAAAGGTTAGCATTTTAAAATCAATACCCATATCAAATCCCACAAGAACAGCAACAAATCGCACAATAACCAATTGAATTCGCAAAATACCAACTCTAACCACAAGAAGTAACTGAAATCGTAAATGCCCAAACTAATCACACAAGAACCAACTATAATCGCACAATACCCACTCTAAATCATGTTGCATGGAGAAAAAACAGCGCCTAAAACACGATAACTTTCTAGAAATCACAGTTTTAGGAAATAGGGTTTCAGAATTTGAGGATTTTGTGAAGCAAATTGAAGAAAAAAGTAGTTCGATTGAATTAGGGTTTGAAGAATTGGGAAAGAATGAACATGGCTTTTTTTTCTGAAAAACAAACGCTGAAATTTATGTTGTTAGTTTGAAAAATAAATTGCACTGCACCAATCCGACACGGTTCAAATGTGTGGTATTGCTACGTTTGATACAGCACAAGAAATATGCTGAAACGAATATAAGTAAATGTATACTTCCAACACTTCAATACTAGTCGAATACAAAGTCACTGTTACCACTTGCTTAACACGTGTAAGCTTTCCATAATAATATCGGATGCAATAAAAACTCCGGAATTCCACGACGAAATATAAAGATCAATCGATTCCTCGTATAATACATTGCTCCTTTCACCACTTGTAATAAATCAAAAACTCAACCACATAGATTAACAAAATGCTAATACACACATTAACATCAGCACGTATAGCGAATATTCCAATTTATATCTCAAAATAGCTTAATTGAAATTAAAAATACCAACTAAAAATATACTACTAAAAACTAGTGAGTATCTTAAAAAAAATATAAGCACAGTATATTTACCTTTAGCGGCAGCCTTTGCAGCTCGTTGCGCTTCTTGCATTGCGCGTCTTTCTGCTTTCGTAGTCTTCTCCTTTAACGGCTTTTCACCAGCTACCTTCTTCTCCTTGTGCACTTCCTTATCCGCCGCGCCATCTTTTCAACAAATTAAATATAGAAAAAAATATCAGAAAACAATATACAGAAATAATCAGAAACAAGAAAAAATTAATAATAATAATAATAATAATAATAATAAAAAGAGAAAACCTAAATTTGACCTTGTACACGAGGACGCAAGCTCACACCATTGTTCTGCTTGGCCAGCGCCATCTCGAATCCGCCAGCTGGCAAAGACGAAGCGAATTTTCCGGAACTACCCTTGCGGCCGGACCTGGGCGAGAGCGGATCCTCGGAGAACTCCGTGGTGGCCGAAGGGGACAAAAATTCCGACGGATTGTAACTGCCGGCGGGGATTGAGTACTCGACGGCGCGGGGGCCGCGGAGGGGGGAGTGAGGCGGCGGCGGGTGGGGGAAATGGCGGGAAAGGTCGGTCGAGAGGTGGCGCGGCGGCGGGATCATGACTGGGGATAGGGAGTTGCCGGAGGGGGAGAAGTCCGAGGCGCGAGGCGAGGATGGTATCGGGTCGGGCGGACCCGAATTGGAGCGGTCGGGCGCAGTGATGAATCCGACGTGCCGGACCTTCGGGTCGATGACGGTGCGGGGCACGCGCCGAGGATCCATTTGCTTGCCCTCGGGGTTGGGGGTTAGGGTTCGGGTGCTGACGGAATTTGGGGTTTCTGGTTTTTTCGTATTTTGATTGGGATGAGAGGGAAACAAGGGTTGACAAGAAGGCGGCGCAGGAAATTAAGGTGGGGGAGACTTACAGGGTAGAAGAAGCTTAGAGCCTGTTTGGCTACTGAGCTTATAAGCTCTTAAAAATTTCTTAAAACATGGTTAAGAGCTTATAAGCTGTTAAAAGATGTTTAGTAAAAAAAATTAATTTAATTTTTTTTATAATAAACTCAGAGAGAGCTTATTAGATGTTTCAAAAAAAAAAAATATTAAGGGTAAAAAATATTTTGTCCCCTAAACTTTGCGGTGTTTTGCACGGCACACCCGAATTTATGAAATTTGCACGTTTCTACCTAAACATAGTTAGTTGTTGAACGGTGCCCCTTAAGTGCCAATTTTTGAAGAAAAAAAAAATAGTCGGAATCTCACCCACGTACTTCACACATGCAAATTGAGGGATATGCAAGTCTTTCCTCATCACCATTAACCCTCGTTAACCCTTATTCAACCACAAGTTATTTTTCTGCTCCAATTAGTCTGTTTTCCCTCTTCTACTTCTGTCTTTTCTCATATGAAAAATCTAGGATTTGTATTCCACATAAAATTATTCATTTTGGAACACAATTATCTACATCGTTTATCAGCAACATGGTTTGGAAGTTAAGGGCCAATGGAGACGTGCCTCCAAATTACGGTAGTAGTTATATATTTTTTGTTTATTTGTTGCATAACATGTTTAAATTATTGGGTTCTGAGTTTATTTGTTTATTATTATAGATATTGTTGTTTATGTGTATGTTTTCTTGGTTAATGTTGATTATTTTGGGGCATCCATGTTTTGAATGTTTTACCCAATACTTGTCGTAAGTGGTGTATCTTCTTCCTATATTCAGATCAATCCATGAAGTTTTCATGACAGGTCTTCTTGAACAAAAGCATGTCGCATCCATACGAAATAGAAATCAAATCAATAGATAAATTGGAAGAAGAAGAAGCAGTGGCAATTCAAGAACGGGAATTGCAATAACATAGAAGAGACAAAAAAATTAGGGCTTATAACAATTATAAATGGAGGAAAATTGGGGATCCTAACGGTAACAAAGGATAAGATGGAACCATGATTAAAGTGTATTGGAAAAGACGAATTAACCCTTGTATTCGCATGTGCGAACCACATGTGTGACAATCCGATCTTTTTTTTTTTTTTACAAAGAACATCTTATAAGTGGTGTCGTTCAACAACTAACTAAGTTCAGGTAAAAACGTACAAATTTCGTAAGTTCGGGGTTGCCGTGCAAAACATCCCAAAGTCCAGGGGGCAAAATGTTTTTTACCCAATTATTAAAGTCTACTGTGTTGTGGGCTAATAAGTAATAATTGAATTTTTTTTTAATGGAATAATTGACTGGTCTTTTTTTAGGATTAAAAGAAATTGACAGTGGTTGAATTTTTTGAAGAGTTGGGTGTTGCCTTGCAATTTATAGAAGAATTTAATTTAATTTTTAGAGGTGAAAGTCGATGGAACGAACAAGAATTAACATATTCGAAAATTTTAATTTTTTATTTGGAAGTAAAAAAAACTAATTCCAATCCAAAAAAATAAAAATAAAAACTCAGAAAGTTGGAATCTTAATAACCGGAATGCAAAATGTTGCTCCAAAACGTAATATAAAATAAAAAATCGTATTAAATGAATTATTTCAATTATATGGTATTAAATTTAATTTCTTATTGGATTAAAGCCACTTAGGTGGTATTTGTAAAAACTTTAAGAAAGTGATTATGAGCTTTTTTTTGCTCATAATCTAATTAGTGTTTGTAAAATTAACTTTTGTTTTGCTTCTCTTAAAATAAGCTGCTTTAAGCTAATTTTTTAGGTGGTGTTTGCAAAAGCTTATATAAAATAGAAGTTAGTGATTGTAAATTTAAGTTGAAATTAAGTGATTATTTCTAAAAGTTGGGAGTGTTTGCAATTTAGCTGAAATGTCTACTAAAATAGAAAAAGCAAGTACATGGATGTTTTTAAAATTATAGCTTCAAACAACTTATTTTAAGAGAAACAAAAGGAAAAGCTTGTTTTGCAAACACATAAAAAACAGATTATATGCAATAAAAAACTCATAATTTATTTCTAAAAACATCTGCAAACACCATCTTAAAAGCATCTTTGTACCTGCTTTTTCTATTTAAATTTATTTTGTAGAACATTTGCAAACACCCCCAACTTTTAGAAATAATCACTTAAAAGCAACTTAGAAGAAAAGTGATTATCCATAAGCAGGAAAAACCTTTTAGAAATAATCATTTAAAACCAACTTAGAAGAAATGTGAGGAAAAAATTTTCGTACAAACATTAACTTTGGATTATATATCAATTAGCATCTAAAATCTGCAAAATAAGAATAATAAATAATTAGAAAATTTAACTTCGAATTAAATTCAAACATATTTATCAAACACAAACACACGAATTATCACAGGACCACAGCCGATTGATTCCCAAGAATTACCAAAATTCAAAAATTAAAATAAAACAGCACAACAGGCAATTAATTCACAAGAATTACGTACGAAATTCAAAAATTAAAGTGAAGCGCAAAATTTCGAAACAATCGACAACTTCCAATTCGAGAAAACCAATTCGCAAAAATTACAAACCACAAATCGAAAATTGAAGTGAAACAGAAATTCAAACATTATACTTACCCCACAACTAATGAACGAGGATTACATCCGATATTCTAAACGATATTCGAAAAATGAATTTGAAACAGAATTCCCGAAAAAAACCGAAGCACTTCCAATTTTAGCACACAAAAACACATCCAAATTAACAATATTCAAAAAATTGAAATGAAACATCAAAGTACCGAATAAAATCAGAATAAATCAAAAAGTTCCAATTCCGAAAAAACAAACACACAAAGCCAAATTAACGAGGGTTCCAATTCCACGAAACAACACATCACGAAAACCCGATTACAAAAAAATGCGTACGAAAATACGAAAATTACCTTTAATCGACAAACACACATCCAAATTAACGATATTCAAAAAAATGAAATGATAGGGTTCCAATTCCACGAAACAACACATCACGAAAACCCGATTACGAAAAAATGCGTACGAAAATACGAAAATGAAAATTACGTCTAATCGCCACCTTGGCCATGTTGATCGGAGTTGGAGTTGCCACGATTCCAAAACTGATTTAGAGGGCCGTCGAAACGGGCAACACGATACCTTGGCGGCACGAGCAAGTATATGGACGGTATCGGATGGAGATAGACAGAATAGGGAGGCGTGAGAGCAAGATCAAGAACGATAGGTTACGGATTTTGACGGATTCCAGGAAGAGGAGAGTGAGCTCAAGATCCACCGGCTTTGGAGTTCGGCGAAAGAGAACGTACTTGTAGAAAGGTGGGAGTTGAGGGAGTAGAATTTAAACAAGTTGGTTGAGTACAAGGCCGAGATTTTTCAATTTCGTCTCTGAAAATAGTATATTGAACCGCCGTCATCGCGGCCGCGGTGGTTGATTATTCATAATGGTATTCACGTGTCATATTCCGATTTTTTTTTTTTAATGAAAATATGAAAGTATTTTGTAATGTTTTGTAAGGAGAGTCTTAATTTATACATATTATGTGTACAAAAAATATTATAATTTTGGATATTAGATCAATGGAGTTGGATTTGGATTGGACTGAACTGTCACGAACTTGAACCTTGATCAAGTATGGTGCGGCACTTAGCCATGAATTAGCGACTCACTCGAAAATTCACAAGAGTGTGTGCAAGTGTTTGTGAAAGAATATAAGTGTTAGAGAATACTAAGAAATATTCTCAAGCTTTATACTCTGTTTGATTAATGAATTGTTGGATGATTACAAATGAATGGGCTTACCCCTATTTATATTATTCCACCTCCTTAATGTATGGTGGTGATCATCTTGATCTAAATGCTACTATTAAATCATATAATCTTCTACCAAATATATATAGAGGAAGATCATCTAAGGATTTTTACATTAATGAGAGGATTCTAAAAGATCTTCTAGAATCATCTACTCTTGGGCCCCTTCGACTTGGGCTCGCTTGGCGAGCCATCTTTAACCTCTTGGTTCCAAGGTGAAACGAGCGGCCCGTGACATTCTCTCCCATCTAATCTAGCGACATCCTCGTCTCAAATGCCTCAACGATGACCGCAAATCTTTCTTGGGTTCCCACGTCATCTCGGATTCGGGTAGTCCCTTCCACTTGATTAAGTATTGTGTACTCGGTTGCACACCTTGTCAGCGAACGACGCGTCTCTCGAGTACCGCTTCAACCTCCTTGTCGTAAGACTTGGTTACCACGGGTAGTGTTCGATGTGAATAACCTCGGTTTGAGTAGACTCGCGTGGACGATCGGATGAATTTTTAAAGTGCTAGGTAGGTCAAATCTATAAGATACTTTACCTACTTTAACCACAAAGGGGAAGGGTCCTTCGTACCTCTGGATAAGACCCTTGTACATGCCCCTTAACGACTTGAACTATTGCGGTAGTAGTTTCACCATAACTCAATCGCCTACCGCAAAATCCCGACCTCGACGCTTGCCATCAGCCCACTTCTTCATACGCGGTCGTACCTTCTCTAAGTAGGAATGGGCAAGGTCGGTGTTAAGTGTATATTTATACACTTAATTGTACCTTTTAATTGGAGCTTTTGATGTGTTTTTACGATAATTGGTTCTTAAAATGGTTATTATTTGTATTTTAGGTGCAAATTGAAGAATTGGCAACTTTTGGGGTGAAAACTGCAAATTCGGAGAAAAAGTGGGCCAAAAGTGAAATAATCAGAATTCAGAAGATTTGAAGACCGCACGGCCGTGCGGATTTTAAGCTTATATTTCACACGGCCGTCCGGATTGACGTAGGGGCGCAGTGAAGGAAGTTTAATTACACAAGGAAACCCGCCCTATTATATTTTTGCACCCTATTTAAAGGCCACAAGCACACAATTAGGATTATCTTGTACTTTTTAATCTTTTTAATCTTTAGTTTTTATCTTTCTACAAGCAATCGAGGAGCAAGAGAACGAAGACGAAGACTTGACGAATCTTCATCCTAGTTTTCCTTTTTACTTTTCTTTTCTGAGTTTTATGAATTTTCGTATTTTGATTATGCTTTTCGT